CCTCCGTGAGGATCCGCCGCTAGAGCTGCGTCACACTCGCCACAGGCCGGCCCTGGTAAACTACTCCCACCTTCCAGCACCCTGCTGTGAGCCCTTCACCACCCACCGCCATCCCTGATTCCTGCACCCTTACCCCGTCCCTCAGCCTGCCCCCAAACCCAACCCCTGCATAACTCCTTAATTCCACCCTCGCCCCTCCAAACACCAAACCCCTCTCCTGAGCCTGCCTCCTGACACCAGAACCCTCTGCCCTGAGTCCCCCCACATGTCCCATGTCTCTGCTGAAGCACACGAGCAAAGCCAGGGGCATTGCTCGGCGCTCCACAGAGACCGGCTCCCACTCCGGCTACGCTGCAGCAGCTGCTCGCAACGCAAGGCCACTCAGGCCCCACTGAATCTATGGGAGTAGAGGGGGGTAGGGGTAAAAGGCTGGGGTTAGTGAGTGCACTGGCCCCATGGGTGCTCTGCATGGCAAGCTCTAGGTGCTGGCTCCAATGACGGACTGTGGGGCCAGGCTGAGTCAATCCAGCTGGAACATTTCAGCCGCCATTTCCTGCCCCTGCCTTTTGCACACGTCCTGCTGCCGGGGACAGCAACCCCCTCTCCCCTCCCCCCTAGTCAACTTCTCTGCTTGGCGCTAGCCAGGCTCAGCTTCTCCCAGCACTAGCCACCCGACTGCTGGATTCAGGCCCCCTGCCTCGGGGAGGGGGGGGGGCAATTACCACCCATTTCAATTGACCTTTCCCAGCAGTTCTGAGCCCTGCTTTTATTAACCTTGGCAACTAGCCCCAGCTTCCCTTGAGTCATCCCACCCCTCAGCCCCAGCCTACGCCCCACCCCAGGTCCCTGCCGGCTCCTCTGCTGGTTAACGCAGTACAGCGCCGGCTCCCCGCAGTGTCTTGTCCCTGGAACTACAACAGTCTGCAGCTGGCCTGCAGGTGGGGGAGTTGTGGGCTTAGCAAAAGCACCCTCCCTCCCCAGGTCTGCAGCAGTGAGTCACGCAGGATCTCCCGGGCTAGCTGGAATCCATGGGATTCCGCCAACCCGCTGGCCTGGAATCTCTCTGGGCAGCGACTGTCTTTGTTCTTCACCACGCCTGCCACACTGGGGCATTGATCACTGCCTGGGCTCCTAGGTGCTACCACAATGCCAATACGCAATCATCATCCATATGCTGGTAGCCCCTAACAGCCTCAGTCTGGTCCTGGCTCCTGCGCGCACAGCGCTGTACAGTCTTAGACAGGAACGTGGGTATTTCCAGACTGGCTCAGAGGTGAACCCGACAGTCAGATCCCCCTGCAGCCCTGCTCACCACCAAGCTGGGAGGCAGTCCAAAGCTGGAGTCGGATCCAGCTGGGCTGAAGTTTGGAGTTGGGTGACAACTGGGCGTGCCGCTCCCTCGGGAGAGCTCTGGGGAACAAATACTGCAGGGCTACGTCTACACTGGCACCCTTTTCTGGAAATGCTTAAAACGGAACAGTTTTCCGTTATAAGTATTTCCGGAAAAAGCACGTCTACATTGGCAGGATGCTTTTCCGGAAAAGCACTTTTTCCAGAAAAGCGTCCGTGGCCAACATAGACGCGCTTTTCTGGAAAAAAGTCCCGATCGTCATTTTCGCGATTGGGGCTTTTTTGCGGAAAAGACTACTGTCTACACTGGCCCTTGGTGCTGTCTACACTGGCCCTTTTCCGGAACAGTTTTTCCGGAAAAGGACTTTTGCCCGAACAGGAGCAGCATAGTTTTTCCGGAAAAACACTGACAATTTTACAGTAGATCGTCATTGCTTTTCCGGAAAAGCAAGCGGCCAGTGTAGACAGCTGGCAAGTTA